TGGTATAAGAAAGGGGGAAAAGTAGGAAGTAAAGATATCCCAGGAGAATGGAAATACTTATTGAAGGGGGGAAAATTGAACTGGGTTAATTAATATTGACTAAATTTCCTGGATAAAAATTTTTAACGAACAATTTTCTGTTATCAAAACGTGAAAGAGTTTCTTTAAAAAAAAAATATCTAAAAGGACTATGTTTTTTTTTCAATTTCTAAAATTTAAATACAATAGTGCTTATCATTTATAAATCATACTTATTAAAATTATAAAATAAAAGATATTTTCATTAAATATTCAACGTGATATAAGTAATTTGAAAATATTTCATATGTAAATTTTTTACATTGATCTATTTTAAGAATTGTGAAATACTGTTTGAAAGAAAGAAGAATTTCAAATAATGTGACGTAGGGAAGAGAATTTTCCTGTGCCACATTATTTGCTAAAATTTGGTATTATATCCAATGTGGTTGATATAAATGGCAAAGTACAAATCCTTTTGCAACTTTTGATTGGCTTTAGAAGTCACAGAAGCATAATATTATTGTGTTCAAATGCTTTTTTTCAACTACAAAAACATTTTATTCAATGAGTATTCAAACATGTGTTTCATACCCCACCCCACCACCACCACCCACACACACTATCCTCTAGTTGAATGCCTGTGAGAATTGACATTGGGAAAAGAATTATGTTTATCTTAGGATAATGGTGAAGTAGCCTTGGAGAATCTTGACTTTATGTGAAATTCTTCCTTGTGTTCATGAATAGGATGTACGGCTAGATTCTGTAACTTGTCTCTGCTTACTCTTGATTTAGGACTGTATTAAGAATCATATCCTTGCCACCGAGTCTGTATGGTTTGTAATTTTATTTGTGAATATGAAGCTCTTTGTGATACATCAGCACCTGTTACATAATGAGAGTAGAATCCAGAAAGCATATACGATTCTGGGCTTAAACATGGAGAATTCTGGGTATTCATAATATAGATGCATGTTAGATTTAAAGTAGACAGCATTATATTCACATGGCTCTCTCTCAGAACAGCAGCACCTTTACCCTGCTTTCTCCTCACACTTGACTGTGGGTTCCACAAGAGCAGAGACCAGCTATTAATCATGTTTGAATTCCCAATGAATAGCACAATACTTCTCCCCAAAATAGACGTGCAGATTAATTAACTAATTTGAGGGCCATATAAGCTGAAGTGTTTGGGTGTATGTGTTTGGGAAGGTAAATTAGAACCATAACATAAATAACCCTCTGTATTGTCACAAAGGAGATCCAAGAGACCCTGCAAAACATGACACCATATAACTCATTCTTCAAACAATAAGACCAGAAAAGAATTCATTCATGATTCTAAGTCATCTATTATTTAGTCAGATATCTACACTTGTAATCTAGAGATTTTACCTATAATCTACCCACAATAAAAGTTTAATTGGGAATAAAGTACCTTATCTATAAAAATGCATATTTCATTTTCTCCATTAATAGATTTTCCATTTTTATTTCTTTCTAATAACCTCACCCAAAAGCCAAGTGGGTTAATACATATGAAAAAATGCTTGAAATTAAATGATATGCAAAACAAAAGTATTCACTACTTTAAGATACCTCATTTTGTTTTATAAAAATTCTATGACAATGAAGTGAGTCTGGCTTAGAGACACATTTAAAGGATGTCTGGCCATTTTCAGAACCCTGTTTTCAGACACTCACTTAGAAATGATTAGACAATTACATATGAGAGCATATAAATGTTTTGATAGGAGAGGAACAAACATGGGTGTTTATCCAGGTAAATTAGAGAAGTCAGAAAGATAAACTGGATGACTTCCTGATATAAAAGCTAAACCTCTAAAGAAAAATTAGAGTGCTTAATATTTTCCATGGCCATCCCTCTCTTTCATGTTTAATCTCCATAATTGATTTCAATAGTTTTGTATTTTAGACAGGTTGATGAATAGAAAACTTCTGAACTTATTGACCTCTTAGTGGCTATAACGTACTTACGAAGATGGATTGAGAGAGGAAATTAGGCAATGGTGTGCTGGTCAATGCTTACCAACCGGTTCTCAAAAAGAGAGAGAGGCCCTGATTTGCAGCATTTGCTGATTTCTATGCTGAAAATACTTCTGACATAGCCTCTATCAGGCAAAGAAAATGATGCCTCTTAAAATGGAGTTTAGGAAGGAACAGGCACAATTGGCTGTTTCACGATGGGTTAGCCAGCTTCAGAGCATCATTTAAATTAGGTCATATTAAGCTAATAAACATTTTATGAATGTAGTTGATTAAATACACACACACAAACACACACACACACACATATATAATGTAATGAGTAAATTTTTAAAACTTTGATTAAGTAACTTCAGAAAATAGTGTCTAATAATATATGCCTCTCTTGAGGATACACTAAATACATTAGTTGTTTGAATGCCCTGAAAAGTATTGTATATAAAAAATCTACTTAACATTGTTTAATATAGTATACCTTTAGTATATTTTGACTCCTAGATTTTGTTTTGTCTCAGAACATATAATAACGTCAAATGTGCCTCTGGTGTGTGTAACCAGATTACCAAGAGAAAGTACTTATTTGTGTAGAAAGGTCATAAGAAAAAGACTTTTTAAAAGGATACATCAGTAAGTAGAGAATATTCCATTCTGTCTTCCATGAGACTGTGTTATTTTCAGAAAATGTTTAACTTGTGCAATCATATGTCTGTTCACTTCTTAGCTATTTATTGAGCATCTACTATATTTGAAGAACTACCAAACACTAGGCACTGGAAGTTTTCAGTTGTTTTGTTTCACTTATAAGGGTATGTGCTCCATTAGGAGAGGCCAATTTTTGTTTTCTTTTCTTTTTTAATTTTTATTTTGTAGGGAAGAGAGAAAAAAGACTACCCTAAAGCTTAATTCTAATAAATGCTTACATCTAACACACCTTGTTACATGAGGAGAGCTACATGCAGCTATTTAATACCTCAAATATAGAGAATTCTTCCTAAGAATGTTTCTGTCACTTTCCCCGCTAAGTATTCAACATTAAATGTCCTCTCTGGATATTAATGTGTTAAAGCAATAGCATTTAATAACTACCAATTTGACACTATGAGAATGTCTCCAAGTGCTTTACATCCACCTTTGGAAGTTATTGTAACTTATGTTCACACATAACTATTTATAAAACTGAGCATGTTTTGAAAAACAGAAGAGCAAGACTAATGGCTAAATGTTCGCTGAAGGAAACCCCCCCCACACACACACACACAAGTATCCAACTATCTTTTTTGCAGCTGATTTCATGCCATAGCCTCATTTTCTTTTAACCACAACTCACAAATGATCATACAACATGTAAACCTCAGTACATTTGCTTTTGTTTTGTTTTCCTTCGGAGAATTGACAGGTGGATTTTCCGCAGAAGAGGTAACTGGCACTTGACCTTTGGCGGCAAATATGATCTGTTGTTACATCAAAGTAACTCTGATGTTAATTATCTTAGAAGTACATGATTCTTTAAAGAAACTAGAGCATGACAGCTTTAATATATGTTTGTTGCTTATCATTGTGTATGAATTATTATAATATTAAACATATTGATACTTAAATAGTTTACTTTTTTTACCACAAACACTTTCCTTACCATGCAAGCATAGAAATTAATGGATCTAAACACATTGAAAGAAACAAAACCATATGCATGCATTTATCCATGGACCGAGTTTAAAACACAGCATCAGTATGAAGGATCACGCCAAAAAATTATTTTCTGATTTCTCGATTGAGAGCATAAAATTCTTACCATCACTGTCACCAGCACTTAATTGCTTTTGTAAAGCTACAAGGTAATTTTCCTTCAGCTAAGTATTTGAAATAAATATCTACATACCATAAGGCCATATGGTGCCCATTTACAGTAAATACAAAGCGTCTAAAAATAAATTGAATGAAAGTTGTTCAGAGCATTCTTTTCCTTTCTTTCCCTAATTTTAACAATACACTTGCAAACAAGACTTGCTCAAAGGATACATTACCTAGAACATCTCTAGTTAATTGTACATCCTTGGAAGACAACCAAACACGAGCTCTTCTAATATTTAGTTATACTACATTGTTAGTGGAATATCTATCCATCTTAATTACTCCTATGTCTACATATTTTGAGTAGCTATTATAGTAGACCTATCCTCGATAATACAGATATACTACATTTTATATTGGTCAAATTTTTATTCATAAAGTATCGGGTATTTATAACAGAGTAAATTATATCACAACATGCAACTTTACAACTAAACATCCCACAGAAAAGGAAAATAAAACACTTATATTTGAATCTACAGGGTCACTGATGTTTCAAGCAATGAGTAAAATACAAATGCTTGAATTAAAACAGCACTATTGTCAGAGGCGAATGGTTCTGACACAAATTTGAATTCACTACAAGCATATTTCAAAAGGCAGAGAAAACGCTGCCCTCTTAGAGACCGCACAAAAGAAGCTTCTCCCCAAATTTTCTACCTCTTTTCCATGAGACCTAACCTCCTTAATGAACACAATCATGGGAAAAAGCAGGGCAGGAAATCAGAGAGAACCAGACAGACATAGAAAGAGATTCAAAAGGACAGGTACTCGATGTTATAGTCCGGCAAAAAGGGAAATATTTTAAAATGGTATCTGTAATAAAGTTACATTAACAATAGTCGTATGGTCCTTCCTTGGGGGGGTGGGAGTATTATCTTGACCCTTGACCTCTGCTCACATAAGAGCTTGAGAAATTAAAAGCATGCCTATCATCGCTGTCTGTTTTATACAAATATATTATCTTTATTTAAACTGCTACAAAGAAAAAAAATTCTATTCTGAAATAGCCCAAGTCTGGTTCATAACAGTCATGTGACTTTTTTTTTTTTTTCTGCCAGCCATGTGCTCCGTATCATTTTACTCTGAAATAACTATGCGGATTTCAGCTCAACCTGCCTTTGCTTAGAATGCATGACATACCCCGCGAGGGAGCCTGAGAACAGACTCCCTTGAAAAGCAAGGTTCTCATAGTTGGCCTGTAACCATGGAAGCAGATGCCGTTTTTCTTCTTACCCCTGCTTACCTCTTTGCAGCCTCGAGCCGCTCCCTATTGTTACAAGAGGTACGCCTTGATTTTTCTTCATCATGACCGAACTTGCCTCTTCTTCAAAGGGCATGATGCTGCAGGTCATTGGTCTACTGTTTGCACGGTCCAGAGAACAGCCTTGATGTAACCCTTGCTCCGTCTGCGCCACACCACCAGCCGTGCATCTGTAGACTGGGGGACATTGGAGATCTGTATTTGAAAAGAAGTCTGTCTGATTTTGCCATTGTGCCTTTTCACTCATCGATCGAATGAATATCGAACCTTCTGTCGTTGCATGTGTGAAATAGATAGCTTAGCAAGCACTTTTGTGCCCAACCTGTGCGGTGGGCCAAAAGGTTTTCCTTTTAGTCTCGAGAATTTTTTCTTTCAGACTTTATGAATTTTGTGTTAGCTTAAATTATGTATATGCTGTTTAAAAGATGCAACTGTTATAATGACCGTTTGTGTCGCTTCGTCAGCAGTGACTTTCTTTTGGTCCTAGAAGGAACATTTTCCTTTCTGTCAACTATGTGTGTTTTTTTCCTTTTGTAGCTTTTAAAGGTCTTGTAACCCATTTATAACTAGAAGTGCTGTAACTATACCCTGTAGAGCCAAAGAATTGAGGTATCTTTTTAAGAAGACAATTAGATGGTGTTTGTCATTTAACAGATTTAATTCCAGAAAGGTGAACTTGAACTGCTTCAAGGTAATTTCAGTGATTTGTAAGAGTAAGTAAATCAAATACTCACATTGATTTTAAGTTAAACAAAATGTTTGATAAGCTCAGTTATTGGAAAGATTTTTCTCTGCTTTTTTTCCCTTTTTAAGATTTTGTGAAAATGTTAGTCTGATGTCTTGAAATATACCTAAATACATAAATGATTTACTGTGATTTTGTATGTTAAATAAATACCATATATTTATAATATTCTTATGACGTGATTTAACTAGAAAGTATACAATATGAAAGTAGGTTGCTTATATTTCATTTTAATACAATTACAATTCACTGCTTGTCATCAATAACTGATGTCCACAATCACCGATGGCAACCATACCACCTGCTCATTCTAAAATGAATTCTTTTACTGAGCCCTTAAAAAATCAGAATCACTTCAAAATGTCTCATATGCTCATTTTCAGTATATTGCTTAGCAAGCATTGACTGTGTGTCACAAGTTTTGCTTTGTTTTAAGAAACCTTTGTCTCATATTTCAAGGCATATACCTACTTTCTCTAATTGCCACAGGCAAAGGGGAGGTCCATGACAGAATAAAGAAGGTTATTGTGACAGATGAAACATAATTCACAATGAGTACTCCTTTCATCCAGCCTTAAGTAGCAGAGGATTACTTGAATTTGGTGGCAGAATGTATGAGCTGGTTTTATTAACATATAAGGACAGGCCAAAGGCAGAAAACCTATTTCTCCTCAGCTGGGTGGTGGTTATTTTGTGTGTGTCTGTTTGGGAATCTTATTTTGTTCACCTCAAATAGAAGAGAAGCTGGACCGAAGAGATTCTGAAGAATTGGAGGGAGTACGTGGGAAGGGTAGGAAATAGGAAACTTAAAGCAGTAAAAGTTGGGGGTTTTCTATACCAATGAAAAACGATGAGTTCCATATATTTCTACATTAATTGGCATGCACATGAAATAAAGTCATACTATTTTTCAACAAACGTATGAGCTGCAAAAGCAGGTAAATTTTATTTCATAAACTTAACTTATATTTCTTTAGATGATGACTGTATTATCTTTTGGATAGTGTTAATTTCAAATGGATTATTAGGTTTCCAGATGCCATTTAGTTTTACATGAGGGCTTAATACTAAATTTAAATTAATTAGATGTGTTTTTATTGGGATATTTTACTTGATTTCAATTGTTCATTTTTAATGACAAGGATTTTATCTTTATAAAATTTTATATTTAAAAATGCATACTTTTTTATTTCTCTTTCTAACAAGGTCAGATTTTTAGTTAATTAAAAAGATAGGCAAATCATTGTACTTAATAAAAATATGTGCATCACAAGGAAATTCCACACCACAGATTCCATTGCATCACATTAACCATTTGAATTTAGTTATTCCTGAAATTGTTTTTCTTTTGGCTTTATTTTCAAATACCTTATAGAAGTTGTAGTTGAAGTGGCTTTTTACATGTAAAAATAAAAGTAAGCAGTTATTCTGTCTACTAGAAGAACTCATAACAAAGTGCCATTTCTCTACTATGTTCTTATTAATCATGTTTTGTTATTCCAGAAAGTGAAAAAAACATCTGAATTCTAAATTGAGGTCTTTCTCAATATATATAATGGATACACTTCATATTTCAAATTCTGTAATAACTCAGATGCACTAAAATTATGCTGTATTCTCTAGAAGAAGTCATAAAAACTATAATCTACAAGTACTTATTTTATATATTTTTTAAAAGTATAATGATATGGTTCTGTTCTATCTATTGAGTATATAACTCACATTAGCTAAAATGATTTCACTTAAGTTGGCTTTGTAGCTAAAAATGTAATAAAATATGCAATAAGATTCTTCTTCCATAAAATATGTTAACCCTGCTAATGAATACTTATCATTGCATTAAAGATTTGCTTCTATTAACTGATTTTTCATTTCTCTTTGTGCTGTGATTGAATTGTTATTGTTCAAAACACAGTAATTTAAAAGAATGTAACTATTCTATAACTTCAGAAAGTATAAGATATCATGTCTTTATTATCTATCTGTTGATTAAAGTAGAAATCTTCCTCTACTGAATTAAAAACATCCTGAATTGAATCATGTTTCTAGGGAACATTTTTAGAATGTTATTTTATATGTTTTGTTAATGCAAATAAAAGATAATCTTTAAACAAAATAAGAATTTTGAAGTGTGAAAATATGTACATATGTATTATTGTTAGATCATCTACAGAGATTTGCTATTTGTAGTTCAGATCCTTTCTAATAATTACTCAGTGAAAACATGACGATACACACATATTGCATTTAGTAATAATTTCTACTTCTGCTGTTATTTGTTATTACTTTATGTAATTTATTTAGTATATTTTGTAATTTATTATTACAAAATATCAATGAATTGAATGAGGACTACAGTGACATTTTTAATTAAAAATAGGGGAAAGAGAAAACTTTACGAATGATGAGATTGATACAAAAATTACCTAAATATTGTGATTCATAGAATATAAAAACTGTAATAAATGAACCTATTTTAAATAATAGATTTTACATCATCCATTGTTGAAATTAAAGTCAAATGGAATGTGTTGAATTATCATACCTTCAAGTATAATTCAGCATTACCCATTGACTATTATACAAATTATGAGAAAACAATTTTATTCATTTGAGGATGAGATTTTGTTTTGCAATTACATAACAGCTTTTAAATACATAACACTATGTAATCTGAACGTGATATAATTATATACACCTTAAAAAATTAACCTCTATAACTCATGATAGTGCTGTAAAAAATAGAGGTAAGTATATTTGATTTTAATATAGGATCTTTACAGATTTACCTCTGTTTTAATAAAAATTTATCCACTGTGTTTCAAACCAGAAAAATTTTCAGATTTCTCCCTTCTTACTCCCCCTCCCTAACACACATTTTGCTATAAACTCTGCACCAATCACTAGGAAAGACACAACTGCAGAAGCAGTTCAGGAAGCAGCCCTGTGAATGTAAAAAAATCACAGACTTTGATTTTATAAGACATGTTGGATAGGAGTCAAAACTGCCACATGTGGTGTGAAAAAATGCCACCCTGGTGTGAACAAAAGGTTTAAAATGGAGTCAAGAAGCATGCAAGCTCTCTATGTCTAAGCCTTTCCTGTGAATTGTCTGCCACAACCTGCAGGGTATCAAGTGGGCCAGGAAGAATAGGGAAGCTCTTGGAAGCTACAACTGAGAAACATCAGCAGTCAAACGTGTTAGTTTTTTTAAAAAAAATTGTTTTGTTTTGTTTTGCTTCATCTAGGCATCATTATACAAAACTGTTTTACCCAAAACATAAAACAAACCCAAAAAAGTCACATAATGTGTGAAGTAACTGTTGCTTACAAGTGAATTGTTAAGTTTTGTGTGTGTGTGTGTGTGTGTTTGTGTGTGTGTGTTTGCATCCCTTCATTTATAGCAGTTACCAACTGTACTTTATATTTTAAATTCCTTGCTTTGTGGGATTGAGATTTATTTACAGAAGGGTGAATAGGGCCTGAGTTTTATTTACAAAAGGGTGAATAGGGGGAAAAGGTTCATAAAATGCTGATTACTAGAATAAAAATGTAATGATAATACTCATGGTTGATGACCTAAATTATCAACAACAACAACAAAAAAAATGTAGGAAAAGACCAAGAGTTTTCTATTGGAAGCAAGCATTTCATATCTTAATAAATAACATAAGAATAATTTCAAATGACTATTCAGCAGGAATAACCTTTCAGAAAAAAAAAACTATTGCTACAATATACTACTGCAATAACATACTAATATTTATACCTTTCCTAATATGTTGCTATGTAAAAATTTACTCCACATCCAAAAATGTTTGTTAGCTAAAAATAATCAGTCAAATAAATCTGAAGTTAAACAATCATCCCTTGCTTAAATAACTGAAAAAGGCAAATCAATTGTAAGGATAATTAAAAAGTATACTACTATGTCATAACATCCACTTCAATAATCTTAATATGTTCATAAAGGTACACATGAATGCTAATTATATGATAAATTATGAATAGCATTTAAAGAAGGTAACATTTCCTGGGTGACTGTGATCTAATCAATACAGTGCATCTAAATGCATCAAGAAACATCTTTGATGAGCATTGAAAAGATCCTTAAACTTTCAAGCCAGCTATATTACATTTGCATCTTATCTCTTATTAAGGATTGGGTCTAAAGCCAGCAAATCCCATCGGTTATGAATGCAGGTCAAGACAGGAACATTTTTCTATTTACTCTTTGTAACACTGGATAGAAATCAATATGTTACTTTCATTACAACCACACAATCAATTCCATTTAAAGTATAATACAACAGCCAAGTCCAAGGACAATATGGATCCTTGGGAAAAGCTCATACCATTTGCAGGGCTGTGTTTGATATAGCTCCTGGTGAATTGTTTTCTTTCTAATTAGTGTACATGGGTCATTTAAAGC